TCTCTCTCTCCTCCCCCGAGAGGACAACAAGAATATATATGTATATATATATATGACGATAGATGTGGCGGATGACTAGAGATGCAAGAAGAGTACATGAAAAGAGAATAATAGTATGTGATGGCATCAGCCCGTAACAGTTATTGACAACATCAACAAATACAGCATACGACAGAACAACCAAAATTTCAACTACCGATGAAATCCCCGATAAAAATATCCAAAATCAGCTTCTGCAACCCACAGACAACTACAAATTAAGAAAAAACAAAAGTCTCATAATTCATCGCAGACATGAAAAACGACTCCGGAACACTCCCCGACAGATTCACGAATTATGGAAAAGTGCTTTTCAAGGAACCGAAGTTATCGACACTGCTCTTACTGTCGGAAATTATCTGAACCAGAACTTGAAACAAGAATTGCGCACAAGAATGAGCAAACATATTCTACGTACAAGAAACAATCAAGAGAGCAAAACGCACCGTCAGGCGGATGAACAAACTGCGGATATTCAATCCAATCAAACAAGTCAATAACTTACTATATTTCACATTCTGTGTTCTTATTAAAAACTAAAAATAAACATCTCTCTATTGAGAGAAAATATGAAAAGTAATGCTACATCGTAAAAAATCTAAGTTCACAATAAGACATACGCTATAATCGCGATATTAGCGGCATCCGTAGCGACACACTCAAAAATGTACACATGAAAAAATAATGAAAACTATTTTCTTCGAAATGATCCCATCAATCACAGCGCCGAATAAACCATCACCAAGTCAATACAGAAAGTAAACACAGCATTTCGATGTGATGTAAATACTTAAAACGAAAACGAATCTAAACACAACCTCACACACGACGCCAAGAGTACTAGCCACTATAAGCAGCTTCTCCATTCTCACCCATCTTGAATGCGCATACAATTCCCCAAGCCAAATAAACATCAACCACTAAATAACTAACTTCGTCACCGTACATCTTTCAATAATGAAATTATCCAATTTGCAATGTAGATTGACAAATTCATTGACGTTTTTCGAATTATTAGAACAACTACAACAAAAAAAGCAAACCAAACAGTACTTCAGCAAGATCGAAACGCGTCGTAGTATGCTATAAAACACACCCTTTCCTAACGATATCTACTATTGTCTTGAATTTTCTTGAATTTTCTTGAATTATCCTTGATAAGTATGTAGATTAAGTAATTTATTTGTGATTTTCGAATCATTAGAATAATTACAAACGATAGAACTACCTGATGAGATCCTTAAGCAAGATCGAAACGCGTCGTAGTATGCTTTAAAACACACCCACACCCACACCCTCAAGATAGTATGAATTTCTTTTCGAACTATGTATAGTTAATAGGGGTTTCACTATGGTTTCCAAATAGGGCCGTTTTTTGCTAGCATATCCACCCCCGTCCTTTAAATGATTTCCATTTAGAACGAATACGTATCGAATTAACGGTATTATTAAATCAATATCCACCGAAGATGCTTTCAAATCAATTTCAACGATTCTTCCAAATGAATAAAGCCGACCTATTGATCAAAAAATTCGATCAACAAGCTTACAACCAATTGCATCAACATTTACTCTATTCACAAACAAAACGGAAATCAACAATCTTACCATCGAATACTGACCCAGTGACCAATCCTCCAGCATTAGAACAAAGGCTTGGGATAAAAGCCTAATGCTGGTCAAATATCCCTTCGAAACAGGACCAAATTTAACATTTTCAAGACAATTTTACACATGGTGGAAAAAATAATATCAATATCCAGGTTCACCAGCGAATCGTATCAATATCAGACTTATACCGCAATGCAATAAGACATTACAAAATTACCTGATCAAAAAAAAACCAAACCAAGTTCTACTCAAACGCAAAGATACTTCATCAACTTAGATGATTAACGCTAACAATTTTCTTTTAACATTATGTAGAAAAGGTCTTCTAAACAAAATAAATTCATTACACGCGTAGAATTCGACTCCTTTGACAACTAAATAAAGAATAAACGCATCATGCAGCCAAAATTAAGGTAAAAACAGTTTCAACAATTAGCCCACGAAAACGAGAAAATTTTAACTTCTTTAATTTTCTTTGAAATTTGGATGAGTTATTCCTTTATGTAATATAAATAGGCTATCAAAGATACCTGATGAGTCCCTTAAGAAAGGACGAAACGCGTCGTGTCTAGTGGCGTAACCAGGGGGGCCGGTGGGGCTCAGCCCCACCACCGGGATTTTAAGCCGCATGACGCTTACTTTGAAATTGCGGATATTTTCAATAAAAATAAACATAATTCGATTAGGACCCTTTCATATTAATCTTTAGTGGTCGAGAGCGAGAATGTCTGTAATTGTAGATTGAACATAATATAGTGCCATCTTTCTATCATTACAACTGTTAGATATCGAAGACGCTAACCTGTTTTGTTTTTTGTGATTCATCTTCTCAGATGACAACTATGGAAAATTAAAATATTTACTAATATATAAATAACATTCATGAAATCTAACTCCTCAAAAACGAAAACAATTTTATCTTTTTTTGCATCATCGGCAACAAAAAAACAAAAAATAGATGATCAACAATCGAACTCTTCATCGACATCTGCAGAAACAGGAACAGGACCTGTTCCATCTGAAGGATCAAATTTACCTTCTGAAGTTACTCCAATTGGTGATATACATGTTGATTCAATTACTACTTGTGATGATTTTGTATCTAAATTATCATCACCGAAAATGTCGTCATTGCCATCATCAATTTCATCATCTTTATTACCTAATGATACTTGTCGTTTAGTAACTAATTCACCTTTGCAGCCAGTTTCTCCATCGATATCTTCACCATCACCAATATCACCATCTTTATCGTCCACTGATACTCGTCGTTTATCAACAGATCCAGCATCAAACATTTTATCTATTGATACTGGCCGTTTATTAGATGGCTCACCGTCGATTCCATCGTCGTTATTACTTAATGATACTTGTCGTTTACAAACCAATTCACCTTTACAACCTGTTTCTCCATCGATATCGTTAGCATCATCAAAATCACCATCTTCATCATCTATTGATACTCGTCGTTTTTCAACAGATTCATCAATAGAACTTGTTTCATCACTATCACCATTATTACCTACTGATATTAGTCGATCTTCAGCTGATCCGCCAGCACAACCAATATTACCATCATATAAATTCAATAGTGATAATCGCTCATTTCAAAAGCAATGATTTAGTGTCCGGCCATGGCTTGAGTATTCAATCGACAGTGATCGAATTTACTGCTATTATTGTCGACTTTTTGGTTCGACAAATAACATGATTAATAGAAACCAAAGTGATGCTTTTTTGAGGGGATTTAATAATTGGAAGATTGCACTTGAGAAAAAAAGGATTAAAACAGCATGAAACAAGCATCGCTCATGTAACAGCCACTTATTATTACAATGAATTTTGTGCTCGTGAAAAGTCGAAATTAACTATTGTAAATGTAGTTGAAGCAGGAAGAATTGAACAAATTCGAAAAAATCGTGAACGTTTGATTAAGATAGCATCGACTATTTTGTTGTGTGGTCGCCAGATGATTTCTCTAAGAGCTCATCAAGAAAATATAGAGTCAGTTTAAAAATATTTTTCATCATGCACTATCTTATATTTACTTCTATTATTTAGATCGAATAATAGGGGAAACTTTTTGGAAATTCTCAGATGGTCTTGTCAAACTGATTTAGTAGTCCGATCAATATTTGATGACTCCGCAAGCAATGCGACCTATTTATCACCGTACATTCAAAATGAGCTGTTGCATCTAATGGCTGATCAAATTAGATGTCAAATTTCTATGAAAGTTCGTGAACCCAAATAATACTTGTAAAAAAGGTTTTAATTCTATATATTTAGCTTAAAGGTAAACCTTATGCACTATTAGCGGATGAAAGTCGTGATGTGTCGGGTCACGAACAAATGTCGCTTGTACTTCGTGTTATTGATGATGAAAAGATAAAAGCATCAAATCATTTTATTGAAGAATATTTGTTGGGCTTAATTGGATTATGTTCGTTTGATGCTCTATCGCTTGCCGGTGCCATTGTTGATATGTTAAAAACCTATGATATTGATTTAAATTTGTGTATTGCGTTGTGCTTTGACGGGCAAGATGATTAATATCAGATATTAATCAGAAAATATTGAAATCCTTTTTTCTTTTCGTAGTGCTAGTGTCATAGCGGGTAAGAACGCTGGTGTACAAGCCATTTTACGTGAACGATTCATGCCAAAAGCACTATATATACATTGTCATGTACATCGATTAAATTTGGTTGTTGCCGATGTATGTGTATCAATATCCTATGTTAGTGAATTTTATTCAATTGTTAAAAAGATTCACAACTATTTCACAGCATCATGCGTTACTAATAAATATTTCCGTGATGCCCAAACTGAATTAAAATTAAGTAAGAAAACTCAATGGTATGATCTAAATTATTTTTCATTTTTAGCTCATACAAATCTAAAGTTGTGGGCCGACATCCATTGTGACTCTCGATGGACCTCGATTGATGCTATTCTGAAGAATTACGAAGTTATTATTTTGGCTTTCAACAATCTAATTGACGACGGTGGCGCACGTGCTGATGATGCTAAAGGATTATTGGTGGTGGTTCGAGAGCCGATGTTTGTGGTTACCTTGTTTATCTTGCACAAATTATTGGGTCCAATTAAAATTTTATCGGACAAATTAAAAGGTACCTGATGATTTGCCAAAATGAAAGACTGCATTGCTGTTTTGTCTTTAACTAATAGCTAAAGTACTTGATTATGGCAAAGCTCAACAATTAATCACATCAGTAATTGAAGAACTGAATGTGTCACGAGATCAAAAATCTTTTGAACAATTATTTGAAACAATTATCGACTTTTGTCAAAAAAACAACATAAATCTCAAAGACAAACCAAAAGAACATCGCAAAAGAACTGTTTCTATCAGATTCAAAGATTCAGTTATTTCTAGTACCATCGGACAACGTGATGATAATCAAAATGAAGAATACTATAGAACATATATTTACTATCAATTGATTGAGAATATATTAGTAGAGTTAAAAGATAGATTTTCGTCAAAAAATTTAAATATTTTATTAAGCATATCATCATTATGCCCAGATAGCGATATGTTTTTACATTTTGAATCATTAAGACCATTTGCTGAACATTTGCATTTCGATGTTGGTATCTTATTTAATGAATTAGCTGTTGTCAAACCAATGTTAAAAAATAAATCAATGATCACTGTTATTGATTTATATCAAGAATTATATCCTCTCAAAGAAGCGTTTCAAATACTTGTTGCACTTATTGAATGTGCCATGACTATTCCAGTTTCTTCAACAACATGCGAACGCACATTTTCAAGAATGAAACTGATCAAAACAACAGTGCGAAATACAATGACTGCTGATCGCCTGAGTGATTTGTGTTTATTAGCTGTCGAGCGTGATATTGATGTAAACTTTGAGCAGCTTATTGATAAATTCTCAGATATCCATAAAAATAGTCGAATTATGTTGAAATAAACAAGTCTTTTTTTTGTCTTCATTATATTTTGTTTACATGTCTGAATTAATTGGCCACTCATCAAAACAACTTAATATAAAAGCAGATCTATTTCAATTGATTCTGCGGTTACGCTTGAGAGTTTATTGACATGAAGCTCCACACGCAAATTAGTGAGTTTCTAAAAATGGTGACGGATACTCTCGGAGCTGAGCCCCACCACCCTGAAATTTCTGGTTACGCCGCTAGTCGTGTCGATCTTGATTTTCTTAAAAACTTAAATTTATAATAATTTTGTTTTTATTTTATTACGTTTAAGTTTTAATTTCTTCAATTTTCTTTGAAATTTGGATGAGTTATTCCTTTATGTAATATTAATAGGCTATCAAGGATACCTGATGAGTCCCTTAAGAAAGGACGAAACGCGTCGTGTCGATCTTGATTTTCTTAAAAACTTAAATTTTGTCAAAAAATTTTCTTAATGTATAGCAGTATAGTTTAATTTTGTGATTTTTTATCATTTAGATTATTAGCCAACTGATGAATCCCTTAAGCAAGGATGAAACTAGTCTTGGTAGCTATTCACACCCACACCCACACCTCAAGACATATAGCTATCGATTGATATATAGCATGTTGGTCTAGTTTAGTTTGTAGCTTTTTCTATGGTGGTGTAGGATTCTTTATATTTGAAAAGTCTTGAAATTTTTCAAGAATTCAAAAAATCCAAAATATCCCATGTCCTATATGCTTATGTTTACTGGGGAAATTTGAAAAAGTAAATAAACACAACGTCTTAGATTAACATGCTCTACAAACCCTGAAAATATGGCGCGATTTGGAGATACTTGTGGATACTATGGTAGAGATCCGGTGGAAATGCCCATTAGAGACTAAAAAGACTGATTTCGTTGATTCATGATAGAGAAATTTCGAGATTCGCATGTAACGTGTTCATGGATGAAAAAAAAACATTTTCTATCGTTTTATCTTCAGAACACGAAAAGCAAACGAAAGAAAAAAATAGAGAAAGAGCATGGAAAGTGTAGGATACGCATGACAGTATACATATTGATGTAAAGAGAATGTCACTCTTGACTAATTCACGTAAATAAATGAATGTAGAAAAGATCAAATTATTTTGTCAACTATGAATAAGAATGCAAATTGCTCATAAGCATACCAAACAAAACTCACATATTTGAATTTTATTTGGTAAGAATTGAACTTTATATTTCATTTTCAATACTACTACATTAGCAGTAACATAAGTATTGAGTGATCAAGAAAGTATTATTACAAACAGTAGTAAACGAAAAGATATAGGAATGACGTATTTCAATTACCCTAGAAATAAATCTATTATAACTTTGATTCAAGATGCTTCGTATGTAAAATAGACAGCTTATAGAATGAGGAAATTCTTGCACAAAAAATTGCTAATTTTACGACAATTCCTATCAAATAAAGTGACTTTTAAATTTCTTACATTTTGTTAAAAGAATAATTAAAGAACATTTAGTATAAGCTTTTGAAAAATGTAGTAGAACCGAAAAAAACTGTCTCGGTTTCACAGAACTCAATCGACATCCATGATTTCACACCAAAGCTCTTTTATTCCTAAAATAAAATAGGCTATGTGATTTTACAACTACAACATAGGGTGCAGAACTTGCCCATTAAGTATACTTATTTCGTTCGTATGTGTGAGCATCGGTTAAAAGTCGTAATAGCAAGCTATCGATTGGTAGATTTGTCTTTCTAGAAAAAAAATGTCTTAGAAATTAGCACGAGTAAAAGACGTTTTGTGAACTAATGGAAACAGCACTATGAACACAATTTGATGATTTGGATTTTTTTCTTTGTGGAGCTTCTAAAAATGACTTTATTTTGGCATAGTGGATTTCGACACTTCATTTTCGCTTCTGATCTCTGTCTTAATCTGATATGATTGAAATATAGTAGATGCAACAAGAACAGTAGCACTTTTCTTATATTTACTATTATTTCTTCATTTGTGTTCTAATTAATCCAGCCTTATTTCCAAAAATATAAATCGTGTAGTTCTACATAGGATACAAATCGAATCCTAAATTGAATAGAGCTATTTTTCAACAATGAATTTCAAAGTAACTGAAGCTGACCATTTTTTCTAGATTTAAGTCGTTTTCTTCTATCGTTTACAAATACTGACCAAACTAAATGGGATGATTTTTCAGTTTTAAAATTAAAGTGGTAGTTTCAGTCTTTTGAAATCCTTTATCTTTGACGCTTGTATGTCGATATACATGATAATAAATCAAATTACAGTTGAAAATAAACGAGACGTTTCGTTCATGAGCTTGTCCGTCGGTAACGCATTCACGTTTTGGCTACTTTCTATCCCAATATCTCAGAATTAATAAAGTATAGAGTCTTGAAATTTTGTGTATAGATAGGCACTGTGAAATTGTTTAACGGATAAAAGCTGCATATAAATTGACTGCGTGGTTCATGATTTATAATAAAAAATACATGGCGGGAACGCACTCACAAATAGATCCTCTTTTCGATGAAGTCAGAAATCACAAATTTTCTAAGCATGCTTGCGTAATGGAGCCATGTGCCCCCGTGCAAGTTTGTAGTGTAGAGACTGGACTATCTATTGGAAAAAAAGAAATTTTTGAAAATTGTTCTGTTGCTCTGAAGTTATGCATTAAATACAACGGTAAAGCATTCAGTTTGCTTTCGAAAGCTTCGTACAAATGCTATTTTTACCATCCCGACAAAAATCCAAGGTGTTTTGTCTGCAGGGTGTTTCATAAATAACACCCCGATAAGAAATTAAAATATTTCCGCTAGATGTCGACCAAATGAGCTGATATTTTTACCAGTGATAGAGGCTTAGTTAAAGGTGTTTTTCATAGAGAAACCATGAACAGACTACTGTCCTATATATTAAGACCAACGTCAACAAGGATTTTTTACTTGTTACAGATCCTAAAAAATGTTCTAAGGTGACTTATGCGCATTTTTCAAAACTTTATCCTCCAGATAATGACATGTGAAGATCAAAAGAAGGTCTATTGTATTAATCGCAACGAATAGAAAGTGAGATTATAGAACAACCTAATTCATATGTTCGAATTGGCGTCCATTAGCATCAATGCACTTTTGAAGTCTTTCTTTCTTGAACAGATCAGAATTTAAGAATGTATTCAATTCGCTCATGATGGAGTCTTATTGTTTGTCTATAAGAAAGTATAAATAGATGAGCAAAAGTTTATTAAAAACATTCTAAAGCAATCCTATAGTATTTTGCAGGATCTATAACAAGTAAAAAATCCTTGTTGACGTTGATCTTAATATATAGGACAATAGTGTGTTCATGGTTTCTTTATGAAAAATAACTTTAAGTAAGCCTCTACCACTGGTAAAAATATCAGCTCATTTGGTCGACATTTAGCGGAGATATTTGAATTTCTTATCGGGATGTTATATTTATGAAACACCCTGTATAATAAAATGAAGGCGTGGCCTCGACCTGTCTACTAGTATCTCCATTTCTATCAGAAACGAAACAATGATTGAAATATGATAAAAACCAAAAGTGCATTTTCAAACTGTTTTCGGTCAAAAAAGGCGCCATTTTAACTATCAACTATCATTTCTTCTCGTATTTTTTAAAAGCAAACCAGATAGATCGACGTAGAATTTATGAAGGCCTACTTGAAATTGTTAAGTGGACGCGATCAGATATTTACTCTCTGAGAATTTCAGTGTGCAACTCGTATCATGCTGGCTTGCCGTTAGCGACACAAGCTCTCAAACTGACTTTTACTATTTAAGTTGGAAAAATATTCACGAGTTACCGATTGACAAACATAGCCTTTTAATTTCTTTCAATGCAGTTGGCAGATATAAAATGAAAACTGATAAACTTTCGGTGACGGAGTATCGTTGACAATCTTTAGAACTGATATTTATACGATAGAAATTCATTATCTTATCGCACACAGCGTGTGGAATTATGATGACTTTAGTGTCAGTAATTGAGTCGAAACCAAGGGGAAAAGTTGATATAACTCAGTTCAAAATCAAAATTAACTAAAAAAATGTCATCTTAATTCAAATGAATCACCTTAGCTCTCATAAACTCACTTAAATTCACATTAACCTACCTTAACTCACAAAATCAATCATTAACTTTTCCGCCTTGCCCACATTTCGAAAACCCACGTTGTCACAATATACTAATTACCAGTACTTGACAGTCGATGAGCTGTTTCCTTTCTATCTTTGGGTTCTAGTTCGAGAAGAACGAAAAAATGGCTTCTTCTTCAACTCATTTAACTGAAGATACAGAAAACAGTAACATGCCTATCGTACATGAGAATACACACAATTTTACAATTGTCTGGTTTTATACTGGAATCGAACTCGATGACAACAGAAAAATTCTTATGGACTTACAATTCAACATTGGTAATGTTCAAACCTGCAATCAATGTGAACTCTGTTCGGAATATATTAAATCTATCGAATTTAAAGAAGGTATCCTCATTATTACTGTTAAACATGGCAGTGAGATTGTACCAAGTTTGCACGACTTGAGACAACTGCATTCGATTTACATCTATAATCTGTCTGATCTTTCGGAGCAACGATGGATATATTGTTACCCGAAAGTAAGCTATCATCTTATCTTGTTCGCTATGAACCTTGACGTTGTAGCTATCCCTAACTTTTGTAATTGTACAACACTGTAAAAAAATCCGTAGAATAAAAAACGAAAAAAGGGTTTATGAAAGTGCAACGTGTCACAGACCCTTTTAAAGGGTTTATTAAGGTGTTATAAACCCTTTCATAAACCCTAAAAGAAGGGATGAATACAGGGTTTATGAGTTGCAAAAACTGGCCCTGAAGGGTTTATGAAAGGGATTATAAATTTCATAAATCCTTAAAGGGCTTGCTATACGTTGCACTTTCATCAACCCTTTAGAAGGGTTGATTGATTCCAATTATTGTGATTGTGTATAATATTTTCTCTTCTCTTGGTATGCTTTAACCTGATAATTCTCTTGTTTATTAGCTAGTTTATTGACGTTTCGATCGATGAAATCGATCCTCTTCAGAATAAAATAGGAAATGAATACAGAAAAGGTTGTTTTACTGATGATTCATCGAATTGTCAATGTTTTCTTTATTTTGTTTATAAATATTACATTACTGGCACGGAAATGACGCTATATATTAGAACTTCTTTTTTTTGATATTTAGTTGTCCGCACCAGTACTATAATATGATATTTATACAGAAAATAAAGAAAAAATTGACAATTGGACGAGTTATCAGTAAAACAACTTTTTCTGTATTCATTTCCTACTTTATTCTGAAGAAGATCGATTTCATCGATTGAAACGTCAATAAATTAACTAATAAACAAGAGAATTATCAGGTTAAAGTATACGAAGAGAAGAGAAATTTGAGAGAGAGGATAATTAAATCAATAGAGAACAAAGCAACTTCGTAAAGGATTGTAGTTAGCGGTTTGAAACGAATACATCCAGAAAGCCTCTAAATCCATCTATTTTACTAAGAAACTCCTTAGAATTTCATTCTAACTTCGTAAAATCCTTAAGTAAAATTATCATATGATTCTTCCGTAATGTTATAATAACCATCTAAACTTCTACTAAATATTAAACTTTTAGTAGTATTAAAGTAGCACTCTTTAGAGTTATCATTGCTCGAAGATCCCGTTCCTGACCTATTTACATTCTCATCTATGAAATCGTACAATTGCTTCACTTACTTGCAATAAGATTTGTGTTTGACGATGTTGTTTGGGTTTGAGTCAAAGAGAACAAGTAAATTTCATTTATAGAGTCATTCATTTGTATTGAAAATGTTTTTGCCAGAATCTAAACGGAAAGTCAGTAATTGATTAGGAGAACAGTTCTTATTGAAGACATTACTAACATTGTCAATGTATTGCTCCCTCTTACATTGAACAGTTATTACTAATTCCACTAATTGAAAGTACTGCTTGATACAAATCAATCTTCGCATGAAAAAAGACAATTAACATATTAAAATGAAAGGCACACTCACCTATATATAATAAAGCTTCATTGAATAACCATAGCCATATTGTATTATAGAAGAAGTTGGAATATAGCACCTCAATAAAAAAAAGCTTAGAATTAGTGTACTGAAGGCAATATGATATTCATAAAAGATTAATCAACATCGTTCAAATGAAGCCTTCTATTTGAGTAGATGGGGTTTAGCGAATCTAGTGCATAGCTTCAATAACAATATCTAGTAGTGAACCTTGCTATTTTGAATGCAAATGATGTTTCAATATAGACACTTCTGTACGTTTTACTCGACTAGTAGCGCCCAACTAAAATTAGGAAATAGTAGAAAACGTCCTGAATGCTCTCCTTCATAATGCAAATGTGGTATTAAAATTAAAGAAACCAAAACCTACATTAGTATATGTACTATAATTTTAACGAGTTTTCTTAATGAAAAAGACATTAGGCATAATTCAAAGCAGCAAGAGTCTCTTTGAATTGCTATTATTGCTATAACGACCAAAAATGATCTTCTTAGCAAAGAAATTCTGCTCAGAAATCTGGGTAAATATACTGCAGTTAGGCAGAAAGAAAACCTTCATTGAAAAATATAAAACATATCCATATGTGGACAAACCTATCTAACTTATTGTCTTGAAATAAAAGAAATAAAATGTAATTGTAATTATTGTTACATTTTAGTGTGTTACTAGCAATAACCTAAATGAAAGAATCAACTCATTGAAAAACATTTAAAAATCTCAGCTCTTCTCTTCTTCATTGTTTATCTAAACGAAATCAAACATTCTATTGAGACAAGGTAATAGTCTGCTATATGAACCATATTTTTGATGCATTTTTACAAAACGAAAATATCAGTTATAATTATAATTTAAACTTACCCTCATGATCTTGAATGGTATATGATAATTCTGAAACAACCAAACTGATAATAGCACTTCTTGCGTCAAAGTTGAATATTAATTTTAATCAACTAAAATAAAAAAGATTAGATATTAAAAACCAACAATATATTGAAAACATTTGTTATTACTTTCTTCAGTAGAAGCGACGTCCAGTAAAATTGTAAATCATGCATACCAAATAAATATGTTGAGAAGCACAAGCTGAACAGAACCTGAAAAATAAAGAGAAATTATACACGACTGCGATCCTAAATATCGCTGATCATTTAAGCAAACAAAAAATAATAGTAATAAAAAATGCATTGAAATAAGAAAAATTTCTGAAGAATTTTCCGCGGGATATAAAAAATATGAACTAAACTGTAGCCTAACTTATTTGTCATCTTTTTCTACGTTTCCAGATGATCGGAAACTGAACTGGTCAAGAAAAACGCCCGATAATGAAATTCCTGCCCAGTTATTATTGTTGATCTGAAAAATAGTTATTTATTAAAAAGAATAGATGAATATCTGCAGTATCTTATCCACAGACACTGCCTTGAATATAAAAAAGATGAGTTCAAACTACGATATACTCACTTATTTGTGGTTGACATAAAACGATGAAATAATACCGATGGAGGAAGGGGGAAATATTTGTGAGGAGCTTATTCCATTAGTTGCATCAATCTAAATAAGCAAAAAAATACTATTAATGAAGAAGCATATTGATCACATCGTGAATTCTTTTTAAGAAATGTTTTCGAATAGAAAAGAGATAAAAGAAATTCTAAATGACACTTACGTGCTAACGTTCCGATATTTGGGTGTGATCAGAAAGTAATTCAACGAGATATAAAAGTACAGATTTAAAGTTTTAATAGGTGTTCTTGTCTATCCGAGAAGAAGCTACTTATAAAATGACAATAGATTGATACCTGAAAAAAAAATTTTCATGAATGTTTCATGAATATAAGCAATATGAATTGAAATGGTTAATAATACTTACATGTTGATACTTGACAGCAGATTATTAAGAGGATGCTAGTTAATTAAGATGAAAAGTTGGTTGCAAAATTTTATTAATGGATCGTGATGATCTAAATATAAACAAGAAAACACTTTTAGTAAAAAGTTAAGTTAATATGTGATGCATCATTTTTAACAAATATCTTTGAATATAAAAGATATGGAGAAAAAGTATAAATGATTGTTAAAAACTGTCTGAAACAGTACAATAACCTACCATTAGGTGTAGATTAATATGCCAGGTCGACTGATCCAATATCGGATCCGATAAAATTCTATTGGATGCCAGTCGGATCGGATGGGTTCCGGTAGGTGCCTACTGTCGGATTGCTCGACCTGGGATACCCTTTTGAATAGTATCAAATAGTAATCTACCCTCTAGCGTATTATAACAAACCCTCTCTTTGGACCGAATAATAACCTACCCTTAGGTGTAGATTAATATACCCTTTTGAATAGCAGCTAACAGTAATATACCCTCTAGCGTATTATAATAAACCCTCTCTTTGAACCGAATAATAATCTACCCTTCATTGCTGAATTAGAAACGTTTGTGAAAAATGCGTTTATTAATCTACCCCTAATCGTTTAATAATGAATTGCTTTCCTTAAAATATGAAATACAAAACCCTTAAAAGAGGCCCATATACCCTGTGCCTCTTCAAATACCCTTGCGCTCAAAAACCCTTTGGATCATGAACCCTTAAAGGGTATATGCTATCCTCATAAACCCCTCAAGAGTTTATGAAAAGGAAAATCAAGGGCAAGGGTTGCTTATTCTGCGCTTTTTTTTTACAGTGTACAGTGTTTCAGAATAGCTGCATCGTTGTTTAATGAATCCGCGAAAAACGGCCCTAAGGAACTGATGATATAACCATCCTATAAGATAAGAACTTTCTCAGTGAAATATGGATATCTTTGTTCAAAGCAATCGAAAATTGGCTCTTGTCAAAGGACTTTATTTTCGCTTCTTATTTATCAGTAAAAATCTTCTGATGAAATTCTGAACTTTCCCAGATACTTACACTAGCAATTATAATCATAGGCTTCACAAGATGCCGGTGTTTGTGCTGACTGTATGTGCGCCGTTGGAACTCATTATTTGATGATTTTTGACAGAAAAAGTAAGTTCCATCTGCAATAAGAACAACTTGGTCTCGACCATTGGTAAGAAGTTCTGTTGCCACCCTCGTTTGATGTTGAGCAAGAATGGTCTCTCTTAATACGTGTCGAAAGCCAACGTGATAGAGTACGAAATCCTGCATAAGGGCTACTCGTACTTGATGACAGATGCGAGAGACACTTCGTTTGGATACTAACCGAAATGCGCAAGCAAGAACTCGGTTGCTAAGGGCAAGACGTATTTTTGCGAGAAATATTGCTAATGTCACTCGTACAGATCGAAGACGAGAATTGCGCATAGTAGTTAACTTATCCAACAAATCATTAAAGTGATCTAAAGTTTCAAATAGACAAATAGAGAAGCTTATTCAAAACAATTAAATAAAGTACCTCGATCAAGTCCAGTAATGGTTTTATAGGTTTCATTTTCAAGAGCTCCTGGGTCATCAAAATCAAGTGAACCAGCATGCTTGAGAGCCAAACGAAAATTATCAATCAGTTTCTCTACATTATGTTTATTCAGGATAATATCATCAACTTTGGATTGTTTCACTGATTGTCGGGCTTCATATGACAGATATCCTTTGTAGAAATGGTTGGAACAACAACGTGCACCTTTTGGTACCCAAATGCTCCTATTAAGGAAAATCATTGTCCTTTGTTCATCAGATAGCACCCGCATAGATGTTGAATCAGCTACAGGACAAACTATGCAAGACCTAGTTAAAAAGGGAAAAATAATTAGAGTGGTGCATTAGTGGTAAACCATTATACCCATGTGATTTCGATGTACGCCATATTGACAAGGTCACTGATTTCATTTCTTTCTCTTGGCTTTCTTCTTTCTCACTTTCTATGTCCTCGTTCTCCGTCACGATATCAGTATCGACTTCCATTAGCTTATAGAAAAAACATAGATTCAGGAATAATACCAAGTTGAGAAACTTACCATAGACTCCTCATTCTCTTGAGAATCCGTTTTATTTACTGGTACATCAAGGTGATCGAAATCATCTTGCACTGCTTTCCGCCATCGATCATACCGTCTTCGACAAGCTCCGCAAATAGAGTCATCAGGATTGACTCGTCTTCCAGAGTTCGCAGCCAGGTAGACTCGCAATAGCAGGGACCCACCTCCCCAATACTTGCGGTCACCATGATTGATTTGTCCCTCGCACCAGAAACATCGATAACGCTCTTCACAAGGCATTGCGCAAGAATGAAGATGAATGTATAAATGAAATATACTAATGTACCAGTGTATTTCGATTTACTTCTGATGAGCGTGTCGTTCAATGCGTGATCACCACTGATTATAACTGAAGGGTGAGTCACGATCCTAGAGGTGAGCGCATGGGTGACAGTGTGGATGACTGCGTGGACGGTAAGATGCATCAAAGCGTGGATGTACACATGATGAACAAAAAAACTGAGAATATGAATATGCACGAAATGCACTCCATCTATGTCTTAGTCAAATCCGTTCAAGGGCGAAGAACTTTCAAAACGTAACTCCTTGTCTTGCAAAGAGCGAGTTTGAATCCACCTGTAACACCGTAGGACCTTCAGATAGACCACAGCCTCGTTTAGAAGAGCTTAAACAGAACATTGCCAATTTTGCAGCTATATCAAACCTGCTATGAGTTATCAACCAACGAAACTAATGTGAAGCGATCAGTCTGGATACTTTCCTAAACTAAGCTGCAGTTCCGACAATGCCTAATATTTTCGGGTCATCTCCCAAACCTTTCATTCCTTCCATTTTGACAAGCACATATATAGAACAAAGCAAATTGTTCCGGTCAAAGCAACGTCTGTCATGAACATACACCCCAAAGATAACATCCATCATAAAACAGTTCTACACAGGCCACCTTGATAAGCTGCCAGCCATTGTTAAAATAGTCTGGAAAACTTGGCCCAGAAAATGCAGATGCACTTTTTACACTATTGCCTCCACAAGTCAGCCATTACCTTCGCCTCGTCGATCTTCAAATAGTGCCATTTTGTAAAGCTTTTCAAGCTCTATCGATCGATGTATAAACTATCTTGAAGCAAGAAACTTATCTTATGCGAGTATACCGGCAGAAAATCCAGACTTCAGGAACTTTCCTAGGTTTTCCACAATAAAGTCCCTGTAGTCGTCCAGTGGCCATCGTTCTTTTGACTTGGAAATAGTACCATTTTTTAGAGCTTTTCAAGCTCTATCGATTGAGATAGTTTTTCAAGTTTTAGGAAAATGTTTTTCTTAGCGATAGTAGGCAATTTCATTTTAGATATCTATACAAGTGCCCTATTAAGTCGCGCTGTATATTTGATCTATGAAATGTTTATAAAGGCCTTTTTTTCTAAGTAGAAATAAGCAGCGCATTTGTTTTGGTAGTTCTGTGCATTTTTTCAATATCTTCTAAGACAAAAATAAAATGGGTCGATTTGGCTTCTTATGCGCCTGTGCCGATATTGATGGTACGCTTCGATGATTCTCCTTCCTCTTCCTTCTATTCTCTTTCCATTATTATAATATATCTCTCTCCCGTCTCTCTCCTATATATACGTGTGTTATGTATGAAGTAGTTACACTCTGGATATGTGAATACACGAATAAACATCATTGCCGTGAGTGGCTGTAAGCTACTCCATCTCTATCCAGTTTGTCATTACGATATAAACTCAACAGAGTCGTATTTATCGTTACAGCGCCCCCCTCCTTTAGAAATGTATTTACTCTTCAGGATAGCTTTTAACTCAAAAAGAAGAATTGGATGAAGTCTTATGTTTTCAAAAGCATTTGTTTCTTATTCATTTTTGGGATACGATGTTTTTC